ACAACTGCAGAGATGTTTGACCCTTACAAGATTTTGACATCAAAGAAAAATAAGTAAATTTCTAATCAGTTTGACTTTAAATAGCTCATTTAATCAGAGTATTTTGACATATGTGATAGACAAGTTCAGCGTTCTCAGTGCAAATTACAGAATGGCTAGATTTAAATCTAGCAACACAATATATAAACTTCCTCATAGTTACAAAATCTACACTTGCCTGAATGTTTAATCCCTCTGTAGACAATTATTTTATTAATAAAAATTTCTACCCTTAATTAATCTAATAGGATAGAAAGCAGTTTAAATTCCCATGTTAGAAAAATATTCATAAATATTAGCTGCTCAGGAGAAAGCTTCTATCTCTTGTGGTAACTTAAGGGTCACAACTAGACAGAAAAAAAATTGTTAACTTTCATCAAATTAGTTTTTCATTAACTTTATTAAAAAAAAAAAAAAATCTCAATTCCTTTTAGAACATGTCCACCCTAATCATGATACATTCTTCAAAGCCATTTCAAACCAACTCATTGTTTGAGAGTGTATAGGAAGGAACTAGAAAAGGAATCATTTATCCATCAATGTAAGCACAATCATTCAAGCCTTTCTCCTTGAAATAGGGCTTAACATAGGAAAGAAAACCACTTTATCTTGGGTGAGGGGGGTGGCTAATCTGAAAAGCCTTTCTATTGAAAATTGCTGTTGACATTATACTCATGTCTGAACGCAACTGAAAAATCTCACAAGGAATCAAAAATCTCCAAAAGCCAGTAATAAAAAGGCAAGAAGCCTCAAGTACTTCTCTCCCCACAATGCTATAATAATCTTTGTCCATTCATCCTTAACTCCAACACACCACAACTCGGTCACAAACAGAACCATACGGCAATTAAGAAATTTAACAATACAAATGTCTTTATTTAGAGGCCAGTACAAAGAAATTCTCTTGAGGATAAAGATTTAAGAGAAAAAAAAAAAAAAAAAAAAACAAGATGGAATATGATTTAGGAATTAAAGAGAAAGGTTGAATAAGTTATGATCCGAGTGAGATACATAGATTACCGGGGGGGAGTATCCCACCCTCTTATAGGGTTTCCAAGATAGTTTGGTGGAAGGTATTATTATTATTTTTTTTTTTTTTTTTCTTTTATAGACTAATGTAAAAGAAACCAAAATGCCAAAAATTCAAAGACATCCACAACCCAAACAGAATTTTTAAGGAGATATGAAAGGATTTCACACAGACCACTGCCTACAACTTGGAGGGGGGACAGGGAAATAAATTGAAGAAACCTTTGAATATGAGGGAGGAGTATGGCAATTGACAGATAGGAAATGATCAATTTCAAACAAGAATGGCGGGGATGAAAGAAGCATTACATCATTCAATAAGTTTTCTTTTAAATGAGAAAGAGAGAATTTTTAAATGAGAGAGAGAGAGAGAGAGAGAGAGAGAGAGAGAGAGAGAGAATTTTTTTTGGCAAATCTTTGGCTTACATTTAAATACCTTTTAGTATTTGATAGCCTTTCAACATTTCAGAAATTTTTATTAAAAGATGAATATGAACAACCTTACCAAATCTTTTAAAGAAATAAAATATTAATGAAAACAGAAATAAGCTTTTCAAAATGTTTTTCCTCCCCCCCAACAAGCAAGTAGCTTATTAACCAGTGATGAAAAATTCTTCAGTTGGGAGATCAGACAATAGTTCAGAAAAAAAGGTAACTACAATATATAAGCCAAAGATCAGGGTTTTTCTTTGTTTTTTTTTTTCAGATATTCAATAAAATTATCAGAAATCATGAATATAAGGAATGATGGGTTACTGAAAAAGTTAAATGCCTAGAAAAAAGAAGAAAAAAAAAAAAAAGAGAGAAATCCACAAAAAGCAAATTGATAAAAAGCTGATAAAAACTTGTAATATCCCAAGAGAGAAGGGGGGAAAAAAAAAAATTTCTTTTAGATGAATAAAAATAAAAAAAAAAAAAAAAAAAAAAAAAAAAAATATAAAAAAATGAAGCAGCTCAATAGAAGAACTGTAAATTGGCAGCACCAAGAATGCGTGTTCAGCTTTGTGAAGCACTTCTACTTCTGGACTGTCTTGAAAACTTATCTCTGGACCTACTGCGCGACCGACTGGGAGATCGTGATCTACCTGGTTTATCTCCCACTTCATCCTGTTCACCATTCGTCTTTACTTTGGAGGCGCTACGAGACCTGCTTCTTGACTGACTAGGAGAGCGACTCCGGGACCGACTGGCAGATTTTGACCGTGACCGGCTTTTGGACCTCGATGCACTTTTTTCGCGTTTATAATTCTCCGGACTGTGTTTATCTCGACCTCGCCGTCTCTCACTGCTGGGGCTTCGGCGCCTCCGTTCCCGGCTACTACTTCTCCTGTCACGACTACGGGACCGTGACCGCGATCGTCTACGACGTCTATCTCTTGAACGAGACCGTGAACGGGATCTACAAAATAAAATTTTTCTTTTATTAAAACAATGAAGATTTTCATGTTCTTGCATTACATAAGCATCCCTCTCAAAATGAGAGAGAACAGAAAAATACTTCTTAAAAGCAAAAAGATACCAATATTAATTAAATTGACTAGTCCAATTGTAAAGAGGAAGGGAAAAATTTCTATATTTTATCAAAATCAAAAAGACTTTCCTTTCTTTTTTTTCTTTTTTCAAATAATTTTAAGAGAGGGTACTGTTCAAAGTATAAATATACGCATCAAATCAATCACCGATTTGTTAAAGAGTTATCTGTACTTTGCTTTTATTTACAAAAGTCAAGTTTTAATATATGCATTGATAACGGCATCCTATTATGACTTTTTTTTTTTTTTTTTTTTAAGTGGAACAAAGTTTACCCAATGCAGGGCTCCAGAGCCACTCAAAGTAGATGGCTATTAAATGAAATATGTGAGGTGTAGGAAGTGCACAATATATGAATATGGATGGTAATTAACTTTAAATATTCTTTAGGCCACTTCATTCACCAAAGAAAGCACTTGTTCTGTCATTTCTGTTGATGACAATCACCAAATAACAGTCTATATAAATTTCATGATTGTGTTGTTACATCCTGCTATAGCAACAGCAAAAAACAGCCTTGACATAAATTGAGATCAAGGCTACTGCAGTTTGTATTTGAGGAGCCGCCATATATGTTGGAAGGAGAAGTAATATGTATTTGACAACAGATCATTGAAGAGGTTAAGATTGTAGCATTCAGGGAACATCCACAGAAATTTATTTAACAGAGCAACAGATCTTAGGGAACTGTCTAAGAGACCTCTATCTTTACAACTGAAATATGAAGAGAATGAGGACAATTCAACTGTATGGATGTAGCATGGTGTCATAGCTGTAAAGGTCTGGTGAAACTGAAGATTGGACCTTTTACCAAATATTTGCCACAGAAATTGCCAACTGACAGATGCATTTGGTTTGTTTTACAGCATATTAACCACAATGGATTATTTAATGTTGACAAAATTTCCTTTTCCTTTTTTTCAAAAATGTATAGCTGGTAATATTTTTTTTTTAAAAATGTATAGTTGGATTGATTTGTGGCATATTAACCTAAATGGGTTATTTAATGCCAAGAAGATTTTTATTTCTGGTAATATTTTCTTTTTTCAAATATTTATTGCTGATAATCTTTTTTTAAAAGTATTTCTGGTAGTAAAATCTGTTTTTACACTTTCATAGTGTTTTGAGTCAGGTTGTGGGGGTCAACTAATTGCCCATAGCTGGGACCCTAATAGGTACTACCACCCCGGGTCAGGCTGGACCCGGGAGCAACAATAATTAAGAGGTGCTTCCACACTCCTCAAGATCTCCTGATCAGAGGCCTTGCTGTTGGACAGTTTATTGTCTTACCCAGGATGCAGATGCAGTTTATCATCATACCCAGGACACCCAACAGACGTGTGACATTGTGGTTGTGAGAAAGAGGCTCCAAGGTAGAAAATATTTTGCCTCTCACAAAATCACAAACAAATGAACTATGAAGGCTTGAAAGTGAGATTTGGGATTCTCCAGTGCCAATATGGTCTCATCTGGCTTTTCTTTTTTTTTTTTTTTTTTTAGAGATAAAGGCTATCAGAAGGTGTCAAGTGCTATTTGGAGAAGTACAAAGAGCCAACATTTTATACAAGACAATTACAGAAACCATCAATGAAGAATCAATAAGTATCCACCAATTCCCAACCTATGCATAATTTTAGTGCCCCGTTCATATTTCGTGACACTTTGAATATCAACACAACAGAATCCATACACGCTGTTATAAGCAATGGCCTCCCATTAGCAGTTTTCCATAAAAGAGCAAGCAAAACTAATAAAACTGGCATGCTTTAGGTTTGATGCAGATGAATCTACCACAAACCTGAAACTTCAACTGTCATCTATCTGCATCTCCACAAAACCAGACTTCAAGATTGTTAAAGAGTCTGATACTTACCGTCGTCGTCTTCTGGGAGAAGGTGATCTGTAATAACTGCTTCGGCCAGGCCTTCTGTAACCATAATAGCGGTCATCAGGGCAATCTCTGGCCCAGTGGCCTGGTCGATGACATCGATAGCATTCATCATAACCCTGCAAAAATGATTTTTGTTTTTGTAGGTGATTTCATTATAGATTTATTTTATGGACAAGAAAAATTTGTTCAGCATCGTCTGGATTAAATTTGGTTGGTTACTTTGAATTTAAATCCCATTTAAGACAAGATTAAATAGTAAAATAGGCACATATAAAGAAAGCATTGTTTGTTTTTTTAAGCAAATTTTTCAACTTAAGTGAACAACCTCAACCTTTAAGTCAGAGTGATGAGAGTGATTGACATGTACAACATGAATGCCACTCCCTGAACAGCAACTACCAGAATCCAATGATAAGAATGCTCAAGATGACTTGTGAAAGCTTCTGTTGCAGCTTTTTAATTCAGAGTGTCCTATTTAACCCATAGCTGGAGAGGTGTGGGAGAAAAGAGGATTCATACCTTTCCCTAAAATATGTGCAAAAGTGAATGCAATGAGATCTACCAGAATTTCAACTGTATGACAATTCACTTTCCACACATACAGATTGATATGATCATGGTTAAAACAAGAAAGGTTATAAAACTGTACTACAAATAATAGTCCTAACTAAATGTTTTGTGGCAACTAATTGTTATAACAGTAATTGTTCAATTTCAAGATAAAATGCTCAATACCTCACCAGCAAAAGATTTTAGCATATTTTTTTTTTCACCCTCATACCTGGTATGAAAGAAAAAATGCATCAAGCCAAAATATGGCAAAGTCTACTTTCAAGTCCATGTACCACAGAGATATCTAAAGAGCATCTCATTAAAATGTGATTGGAAATGAAAGTGATTTATTCAGAAAGAGTATCCCTCACTTTGTTTCAATCATTCTCTTCAGTTCTACATTTAAGCAGACATAAAATAAGCAATCCTTTTGGCGGCTTGATATGAATGGGAACAAGAATTTTTTTTAAATATAAATATATATATATATATATATATATATATATAGGGGGGGTCTGGTGGGAACAAGGTAAGCATACACTTACGGTCTTAGCTCAAAAGGACTGAAACCTGAATGCTAGTGTCATGTATGCAGTGTCTATCACTGTACATAGTCACATGGTCATTTGGTTGTTTTATTTTTGAAACCAGCCAGAAAAACAATCTACTAATATTACTACTAGAAGAGTAAGAAGCTCCATTAATCTGGTTGCTAAACCAATCTACATGACAAATATATCCATTTATAGCCAGTTCATGTCAGATTAAAATAAATCAAAACTTACATTACTGACTAGTGGTCGTCTTGGGTTTCCTTTGGCCCATTCCACAATAATGCTACAGTTGCAGACTTCTCGCCCGTTCTCATATTTTATAGCATCCTGAAAATGTAAAAGAAATCATGAAAATAAATAAGTGACAGAAGAGCAAGAAAAAAAAAAAAAAAATTAAAAAAAAAAAAAAAAAATTTTTTTCTTTTTAAATGACTTAATAGGTTTTGGAAAGGCTTACATAATCAGATTTTAAAATCTTAATTTAGGGAACGGGACTTTCTGACCAATGAGAAAACATTAACATTTCAATTTTTTTTTCTCCAATTCTCCACTAATTTTCTTTAAGATATTTACAGATGGTAACAATGATAGGGAGGCTAAGTTAAAATAAGAAAGTTAAGCAGCAGCAGCTGAAATCTAAGACATGGCAACCCAATTTTAACCACCAACCAGGAGGAAAGAAAAAAAAGTCAAAAGACAATTCAGAGCCACTTTTCAACAAGTCCCAATGTGCCCCACAAAGGTTGTAATATTTGAAATCCCACATAGTTATGGTGGCTGTTTGAGAGGTTTCATCTTTAAACACTTAGTTTGTTTTTTAACCTATGAATGATTTTATATACAATAATATTTTTTTTTTAAAGTTGGTTTGTGACATTCTTGTAAAAAAGCTTTTAGTGAAGAGGCTCAGCAACCCAATGTTTGCAGCTCTACCCACCAATTCTCAGACCTGTTTGATGGCTCAGAAAGGCATTTGAAATTTTAAAAAATCAGATATTTTACTTAAAACTAAAATACATTATAAAAACCAGTTAGAATTCCACATATACAATGGAAGTACACAGTCAAATCAGCATTTTTTGTGCAAGTACGAAAATCTTAAAAACTCATAAGTAAAATATTTTGTTTAAAAAAAAAAAAAAAAAAAAAAAAAATATCTGGCTCAAAACTAAATTTGAAATTGAGAGAAAGTTCTACTACAGTTCAAACTCCCAAAGGGTTTTTCAAAAATCAGTAAAAATTTTTAACTTTGCTTGAATTTTTGCAAACATGATTTTAAGGATAACTTTTACAGGCATCAAAATAGTCAAAACGTAAAAAAGAAATGCCAACCAATGTACGAGAGAATTTTTTTTTTTTTTAGGTTTCTCAGTGACCGTCATTAATGTTTAATGCTTTTCTCACTGACAATATTGTGTATATGATTGTCATTAGTGCACGCAATGCAGGTGGTTAAAGCATGGACAATAAAGCCATGCCTCCCCCCACCTCTAAATACCAGTCATGATATCCATTTTTTTTTTTTCTTTACACAAAGCATAAAATGAGACACCAGAATTGTTCAAAACATCCACATGCCTTTTATTTTTTGTATAACATAAGCAAATTTGTTATTCAAGAAAGTTAATTATGTTTATGTCTACAAATATATTATAGAGTCAAGAAGAAAAGGATCTTAAATAGACATAAAAATGAAAGACTACCTCCAATGCAGAATAGAGAGAAAGCACAAAGATTAAAGTTATTAGTTTAGAGCATTATTATACGATAATGTCTTGAAACAAGAATGTGACTACTGGTTAATAAGCTTGTCTTTCCTTTCAGAGTGAGAAATTGTTGTGGAAACACGATACCTTGACACCAGAAAATAGACATGATCCTTGTTACCATAACAATTTCATTACTAAGTAAGGGAGAACAGGCTGCTAATAAGTCAGTTTTTATCTTTGAAACCGTTACTTTTAAGATTAAAAAAAATTACTAATGCATAAAATATAACCAATGTAATTGCAAAATCACTTAAAATGTGGTCATTTTGACGATATACAGAGCATATACAAAAAAATTTATTACTGTTATTTTTAGTGGGTACACATGTTCAAATTGCTATTGTTTTTTTTTTTATTTTTGCAACTACAAAATTAATAACAATCAGCCTATATCAAGAAGGCCCCACTAAACAAAAATTGTGTTTCCTGGTAGGAATTGAAACTCCCTATTTTAACGCCTTTATCAAGATGGTCTCCCATAGGTAAATTGGATACAGCATGTTTCTGCTATAGGAGTAGTTTCCCTGATGGAAAATGTGATTGAATCCACTGTCAGGAGGTGCAATATTTTTTTTTTTTTATCTTCTCAGTCTAGCCCCATCATTATTATTTTTGCTGTTTATCAAAACATGTGTACCCAATTTAAATAATGTTCATAATAAATGTCAGATTAAAAAATCCTTTCAAAAAATGTATTTCTAGATCATAGCAACTTAATGACAGACAAATTACGCTGTGATGAGTTTTATTTTGCAAAAAAAAAAAAAAAAAATTTTTTTTTACAAATGAATAGTAAACAATCAAATTTACTTATGAAACAAAAAAAATTAGTGTTTCTTGATAGATTAAAGGGCACAGACAATTTAAAATTAAACATTGACCAATAATTTCAATCTTCTACCCACACGACAGTAACAAAATGAAAACTAGAATATTTGTTGATTTCTAAAGAGGACTTTGAAATTGTAGCCCTCATTATCCACATATTGAAAATACATTTAAAAGGCTTTCAATATTCTATTTCGTATATAGGATGAACATAAGTCAGTAACCATAACAGAACTAGACACTTAATACTATCTACCAACTACATAACAAGAATTGAAAAGAATTTATGCAACATTTATTAAAACTTAAGATATTTAATCAATAAAATTATGAAACCTGAAACAGGAATATACAAAATAAGCTGGGAGATTGAGGGAGGGGGGGACCATGAAATGCAATGGCAAGAAATTTAAATAAGATTACATGAATGTAAGAATCTTTTACAAAATACAAGCAATGCTTCAGTCATTCATTGTACTAACTTTGACCATAATAGACTTTAACACAAAAAAACAGTTTTGAATAAAAGTGTAGAAATTTTATTTCATCCCAAGCAAGGGAATGAAGCCACTAAGACATAAGGGGATTATGAAGCGTGAGAAAATATGAAGAAAAGAAAATATTAAGAACAAGAATTAAGACATGACAATTGACATTGAATTTAAATTGTTTAAAAGTTGACTGGAAAGCAAGAAGCTGGAAGAAACAAAAAAACAAAACACTACAAAGAAAAACTGAAAGAGCAGAAACTATTAGCATAGAACTTGCAGTTACAACTAACCATGAAAATATTAATAGGAAAGGCACAAGAAATCTATGTTACAGCAGTGGAAAATTATAGCAAAATTTCCATTGAAAGTGCCCTAATTTCAGAATCCTGGTGCCTCACACATGTATGATTATAAGGTGGGATAATAAAAGTCAATATGTGCCAGAAAAGCTGAATGAGATGCCAACATTTAACCTTTAGATAAATCAGACAACAAAATTGACATTAGCAGTTTCTTTAAGTTTTTTGTATAAACCAGAGTCGGTATTTATATTTTCTTTTTGTATATTGGATTGGTTCCATCAATAAAACTATTTTCAAAAGGTGTTCTCTTCTGAATTAAATGTCCTTTTACTACTCGCACACATAACCTGTTTAAACGAGAAATAGAATCAGGGTAGGTTTATCTAGAAAAAAAATGCAGTCAAAGATTTGAGAAAAGGTGGATATTTTAGGAAGAAATGTTGAAAAATGCACAACAGAAAAGTACTCAAGCAAAAAAAAAAAAAAAAACACCTTTGAACCTTTGAGAGCAAGAGAAACAAAGTCAAAGACCAATTTCTTATCCCCTTAACACAAAGAGTTAATAGATTTTATTTTTTAATCTGACATTTTTATCACTTCAAAATGTTATTTTTAGTGGATACTCATACTTGAACAAACTATTTAAATAATATTTATTTTGTCTACTGGTCTGTGTCCCTGAGAAAATTTAAAATGTGCTCTCTGGCATCAGGAACGACTATCTGATCCAATGTGCTTTTTATCACTAGGTTACAAAGAGCAGGGCAAGAAAACAAAGTTCTATTTTGCCCTTAAAGTAAATAGGAGGATCCACTAAAATTAATGTTTGAAATAATAAAATAAATCCAAATAATATTCAACAAGGAAGTTGGAATAACTTTTTAAATTTCTTTTTTTAAGGGAGAAAAATAGATGTGTGTGTGGGGGGGGGGCAGCAGATTTTCACTGAAATGCATTCTATTAAAAATGGTAAACAAAATTTTTATTTAACATACAATAAACCCTGTGTTTTTTAGTTGACTAAGTACAAATATTGTTAATGTTAGTCATGAGCTTTCAACTGCATTTCTGGTAATTTTAAAGAACTGGAATAGTGTAAAAGTATCATTCCACCTACCAAACCCAAAATGGCTGTTATACTCTATGGCAGTGTTTCTCAATTTTTTTTTTTTTTTTAAACTTTAGAGCACACTTGTAGAATAAACTCTGGGGCACAATTTAATTTTTTATAAAAAAAAATTTAGTCATGAAATTTGAAAACATGAAAATCTGGTTTAGCATTCTCAAAGGTTAGCTGTACAGTCTCCATTTGACATATTTGAAAAATCTATTTCTTTTTAAATTTTTAGAGAGGGTGATAATGAAGGATTTATATTTCTTGGGGATAGCAAAAGAGAAAGCATTATTCACTCCTTAAAGATTAAAAAATTAACTTAAACGACAAAGACATGGAAGTTATATGCTTGGTGTTTCTAGCTTTTTAAATATAAAAGTAATTCATAAATTACTGTTCTGTTCACTTGGGACACACCTGGTTACCTTTCAGGGTGCATTAGACACACCAGCTAAAAAATGCTGCTCTATGGCGACATAATAAGCACATGACAATGCAGGAGATTTGTACAGGGCAAATGAGACCTTCATAATATAAGACATACTTGTAACCAACACAAAAAAAAAAAAAAAAAAAAAAAAAAAGAACTTTATGAAATTTAACATGCCCAGAATAGTTTTTTTTTTTTTTTTTTTGAGAAAGTATTTGAGTATTGAAAAGACAAAATATCTACATAACACCAGATCTTTAAAATAACCTGAAATATAGCTAAAAACATTTGCACCAATATGTTCATTGCTGCCAAATGGACTTGTGAATAAACAAAAGCTCAATAAAATATGATGGGCATGGAGGTGAGATATTCAGGCATTAATTTTATTCTTGGTGTTTGGCATTTAAAGTAAAGAAAGCAGTAAACAAAAATCACCAAAAAGGAGAAACGTCCATTGCAAAGAATATTTACCAAAAAAAAAAAAAAAAAAAAAGTTTAAATCTAAACTGGAGCTGCTTAACTTTCTTTATAATGTGATAAAAGAAAAAAAAAATCCATTTTATATATATATATATATATATATATATATATATATATATATATATATATATATATATATACACACAACACCACTCACGCAGAATTTGGTTACAGTTAAATGATCAAAATGTAAATGCCATGCAACACTTCAGGCGAATATAGGAAAGATATTTATCCATTGCATAATGAAGTTTAAAATTTAAAAAATGAATATCTTAGGAAGGGGTTAAAAAAAAAAAAAAAAAATCTCAGTGTACAATAATAGAATAAAAGAAAACCCCACAGAAAGAGCGTTTCAAAAGAAAACCCAATCTTAACGTGTTTAGTTATTTACTATTTGTTCTTTAATTACTTGACTGTGCAATAAATATTAATTTCAATTCAGAAACTTAATTCTCATCAAATATTAACCTTTGACATTTTTTTAAAATGTTTGAAGCATTTTAAAATTTAAATAATTTTACAATATCTATTTCCTCAAAATTTAAAATATTGTCCTTCATGAAAGCTTACAGAATTATCTCCAAAATCTAAAAACATGTTGTTTTTAAATTAGATTTGAGGTCAGAATTTATCACGACTTCCCACCCAATTACAGTGATTATATTTACAAATTGGGAAATATCAAATTTCATAATCAAACATATTGGTAGACTATAATGACAAGGCTACTTTAAATAAAGCCTTAAAGTTTCTATTTGCCTTTAATTATTTATAGTTTTAAATCACCTTCCAAATATAGAATCCCCCTTTGTCAGCAAAAGGAGAATTCAGTTTATAAAAGTGTTAAATATGTTGACAATATCAAATAAACAGACAAAAATGGCTAAATTTGGAATATAAACTTTTTTTTAGCATGGCACTAGTTGATAAGTGTAAGAACCATTCTTTAAAAAAAAAGAAAAAAGAAAAAAAAGTTGTATTTGGTATTTAGATTTAAATACCAAAAGAAAAAGAAACAGGAATTTTTTAAGTACATTAACCACACATGCAAAAAGAAAAGATATACCTTTATAGAAAGAACTTAATTTATATACATATTTTTTTTTTTTATACAATATATAGACAAATTTGCCTGTAGTATTCACCCACATCAGCCTCCCTATCATTAGATTACAATAATAGATATTTTGTGCAAATAGAAAAAATTACTTTAGGGTAAGAGAGAGAGAGAGAGAAAAAAAAAAAAAAAAAAAAAAAAGAGGCAAGAAATGGTACAAATCTAAAAATTACACAATGTGATGTTATTACATGCAGAAATTGAAGAGACAATGACAAAAAGTGGCAGATTTGCCATGACATACTGAAAACCATGGGACCAATGGCAGACAGACGCTTGGAAGCCATGGCCAGGGCGGTGGGATTGGCAGCTCCACCACGTCATGGATAGATGGAAATGTTCACAATGGACATGGTCACATGGTAATGGTCAGGTAAGCATGGTCAGGATTTGGAACTGGCAAGGGAGACCATGGGAACATGGCTAATACCAAAGGCGAAACGGGCCTGGCTATCGGATCATGCTCGGTCTCAAACCGGATCAGGTATTCTGCGGCTTTTGGCTAGTCTGCTAGTTTACCACAAATGAAATGTATTAAATACACATGCAAATACTATTTTGAAAACAACCTTAAAACAGTCACTAGAATTAAAATACATGTTTAAAATGGCAACTTGAGACAGAAATCAAGAAGAGGGAGATTTTTTTTTTTTTTTTTTTAAGAGAATTTTTTTATTGCTTAGGGTATATAAATAGTAAAAATAGGTATTAGTTCAAACTCATTAAGTCAATTCATGGGATTGAACTATCTACTTTTTTCTTAAAAAAAATATAAAAAGCCTGTTTTATGAAATTCAAAGATTAGTATGATTTTTTTCTTGTAAATTACATTTAATTTTGATCAAGTTTTACAAGACTATTTTAAAAAAATCTGGAGTTTTATTTTATGATTTTTTATTTTATTTTATAGTCAGTCTTTTTTCAATATTGTGACTAAAAATAACATTTTAATAGTTATGAAAATCATTGATGTAATGGAGATGAATATCTAATTCCCTCCAATTTAAAACTTCAGCTTAAGAGATCCTTGAAATATTAAATTCTATGACAGTGTTTTCTATAAAGTTATAGTATACTAATTAGACACACCAGCTTCAAAGGACATTTTTATTATCAAGTCCAAATACTCAATGCTAAATACATTTTCTAGAAGCATTTTATGTGCCGTTTCATTTCAGTAAAGCATTTCTACAAGGTTTTGCAAGCTTGCTTTAAAAACTACCATTTGCAATGGCATTCAAAAAAAATGTTTTCTAAAAATTGATCAGAATACAAGTGCTTTCATAAAAAAGGAAAAAGTAAAACAAAAATCTGATTTATATGAAAATTCTCTAGAGCTTTATAATTTATAAATGGCTCAGAAATTTGTTATATATTTACAAATATATTGTCAGTATTTAAAACTATAAGTGCTTTTTTTATATAATAAAAATTTTGCGATAGTTTGGACTTTACAAGTCCAAACTTTAATTACAAAACTTCTCATCTTCAATCTCACAAGTGAGATAGCACAAAGAAAATCAGCCTGCAAAAACAAGAATAAAATGGAAGCTCTTTTTCAACCAGATAATTGCACAGTCCGATATCTGTATATCAGAAAGAAATGACTGGCATACATGCACAGCCTGTAGAAACCAATTAGGTGGAAACATCAATGAATCTAAGAGAAGAAAAAAAAAAAAAAAAAAAAAAAAAAAGAAAAGGATTTTCCAACTACTATAAACACAACATTACAGCATCCAATTTGTCTCAGACAGCAACCATTCCGACATCTCTTGGTATTTCAGTTTTTATAGGATTGTACCATTTCCATCGTCTGCTTAGCAAATATTAGCATTGATTTATGGAGATAAAACTCTCAGACTAAAGAGTGAGCCTAGCTTATTTCATTTCCTAAATTTTTTTTTTAAAACAATGAAGTTGCACATTAAATTGGATCAAATTTTAAAAAAATATATATCATAAATGGAAATATTTTGTTCACAAGTTATATCAAATCCACTCTGTAGTAAATTTAAGTTCTATTCAAATAAATTACTAAATGTTGGAAATTTATTTTGGATCATTAACAACATTGTTTAATAAAAGGAAAAAAAAAAAAAACTTTAGAGTTTTCAAATTAAAAACTCAACGTGAAATAAATTTACTTTCAAAAATTTAGTTTTATACTACAGATTAAACATAATTGCATATAATTATGAATTTTGTTTGTATTTTACAAATACAGACCAAGTCAGGAGAAAATTAGATAAAAGGAGGTTTTATACAGAAACAAAAATATTTCAAGATAACAAAAAGTTCATGGATACTATTCTACAAATTACAAACATGAGATTAAAATTAATATTTTAATCAGGTAGATTAATCTTTAGAAAAAAAAAAATATTGTTCTTTTTGCATGAAGTAATGGGACTTTCACTTTGACTATTGAGAGATGATACATGTTTATAGCATTTAGGAGTTTGTTTTTAGACCATTTTCATTTTGTTTGTTTTCACAACCATGATAAATATTTTATCAATCATCAAGTAGCAGGTTAAAGTTTTCAAAATTCTTCATAAAGCCATTTATTAAAGTAGTGTATATTTTATTTTACACTGTTCCAAATGCCACCAAACTGACAGAAATAGGGAGCAGCCTATATAATTGGCTTCAGTTTTTTTTTTTTTTTTTGGGGGGCTTTTTACATTAGTCATCATGACTGCATAGTGTGAAAACAAAAGATTTAAATTTATGGTCCTCCTAAACTCGTAAATACTTAGTTGGAATCAAGATCAGAACATTTGCCAATAAACTCAAGTGAACAACAACAAAGAAAAAAAAAAAAAAAAAAAAAAAAAAAAAAAAAAAAAAACAAACAAAACAACAACAGGGATTCTACTTGAAAATAGAACAGATTAAATTCCAAACTAAGTTTGTTCAAAGCTATCATCCCAAGAAACGTTTCATTGTGGAGAGGAAGACCTGGCCAATACAATGGGGAGGTCTGAAAAGAAAGAACAGTTCTTAGTTAAAATGTTAAATAAAACTTCACCATAGACCATCTTACCTTAAACAGAGCCTCGAGGTAGGTAACACATGTACGTCAATACTAACTGGCACTATTATTGGGGGGAGGGTTTTCATATAGAAGCAATAGAAACAAGTGGTAACACTAATGAAGTTTTCTTTCATTCTATACGTAACCATCATGTTGAGTTAGAATAAGAAAGCTATTTTCTGTCAATAAGTGATAAAACATCAAGAATATCCCCAAAACAAACCACATGACTCAATTACATGAAAAACATGTTTAATTCTAAAACACTACAAATGAGTTTAATAGATTTGTTTATTTTTTTGGGGGGTGGGGGGTCATTTCTTTAAAATAAAATTAATTGCATTTGTTTAATTTCTCAGTGGGGGAAAAGCTTGACATATCAAGTGACAACACAATCTCAACTATTCACAACAATGCGAAACTTTATAAAATAAAATAAAAAAGTCTCAGAGCATGATGGAAGAGTTATAGTCAAATCAAATCTGTTACGCTAAAGCCAAGGAAAAAAAAAAAAAAAAAAAAACTTATTGCAGGACTTTTTTAACAAGATTTTAATCAAGCTGAAAAAAAAAAATTTTGATTAGTAAACAAATCTATTTTTAAAATCTGAACAATATATTCAAATTTTACTCATTACAAACCACAGCAACATAAAGACTTGGGGGGGTTGTAAAGTTCAAGCAATCAAATCTGACTCCAATCTGACTCCAAGATGGCACTTACGAAACTCTTTCAATAAATACTTTGTCAATATTGAAACAAAACAAATTGAATGATAATAAGCATTATAATTTTTCTTTAAATCCAAATTTGTGTATAGACTAACATTTTTTGTAAAAAAAAAAAAAAAAATTGACCTATAAATACCAGTATAAAAAATTCAAGAAATATATACTTGATATAAAGTTTTAACAGTAAATGGTGAACACAGATTAGAGTCTGTCTGACTTCTCACTCCCCAACATGAGAAAGTTACTTCAAACACTTCCTACTAAAAGTCCCGTTTCAAAAACCCGATTTAACAGATAATAAATGAACACTACACACCATAGAATATATTTAACAGTTATTGTATTACAAACAAAGCCATGAAATGCACACAAGATTATAACCTACCAAATCTTGAAGTTTAAATCATTATTGGATAACATTTTATAGGCCAAAATTTAATAATTGTGCTAACACTGTTTACAAAGCCCAGGTTGAATTGAATTACAATCCACAAGTACTGTGAATGGTAGGTAGGCAATTTTTTTTTTTTTTTTTCTAGGTATTAGAATTTCTTTTGCAACCCTTCTGCATGTTGAAATCCTTAAAATATTTTGTATTATCGCTAACATTTTTTTGTTGATATTTACAAACTCTACGTTTCATTCAATTTCACAAACTAATCAATGAAATTTGAAGCTGCTGATTTGTCTGGAAAAATTCTGACAAAAAACCTACAGTTTAATAATTTAATTGTACACAACTTTGTGTTTTTAATTTGGTTGCAATCAATGTATGGCTATTTTAGAGGATGTGAAAAGACCGACAGACTAACAAAAGTCACAGAATTTTATTTATATATATTTTATCAATGACGTAGGTTATCAACCTAAACTTGAATTCTGAACCAAACATCATCACATCAATTTGTAGATTATCATCAAGAGTACTTGTTTTCAAATTCTTTTGAAGCTGATATTTGACTCCAACAAACAATTACAGGCCAGGTGCCACCAAGCAGAATTAAATACTAAAACTTTACATTAAACAGGTCGGACTCAAAGATCAAAAAATGGCTTGTGGGAAGGAAGATTTACAAAACAATGAAAAATGTATTTGAAAATTCCAAGTGCTTACAATATTGTCCCTAGTTTTGGTTTCCAAAAATGAAACTTTTTTTTGATGGTTCAGTGAATAAAAGAGAGCCAACCAACTATTTAATCAGAGCAGAACAGCCACACATGTAAACAGCATCAATTTCAGAGAGTAACAACATGAGATTGAGAGAGAGAGAGGAGAGAAAAAAAAAAAAAAAAAAAAAAAAAAAGAAGCATAGAATATAGCGAGTTCCCACCAGCTTTAAAACATAAAATAAACACCAGGGCTGCCAGAAACAAGCAGTCACATAGTGCCTAAGACTTTATGGCTGAGAGTTTTGGGTTCCAATCTAAAGATATTGGAACAAGAATGCCAAAGAAAATCATTCCCCTATTTGAGTGACCCACACAGTCAGAATGTATCAACAAAATGACAAAGCAAAGATACAAATAATTGTATGTGTTATTCTTTACATAAAAACAGCAAACAAGAAACATACCTCAGCATCTCTCCTATCTTCATAGTCAACAAAGGCGTATGCTGCAAAACAAGGCATAATGGACACAGTGAAGCTCGAAGCTCAAATAAAAATATCGTGCAACAAATACAAAAGAAATTAAGTATAGCTTTAAAATAAGCTTGGACAAATTTCTATGTACTTTTCCAATAGCCCTTGCCACATCAAAATCATAGTTAAGAAAATATCATTTACACTTTTCTAACAGAAAAAGCAATACATTCCAAGAGGCCACTTTTTCTTTAATTAAAAATTGATTTTCATGTGCAGAAATAAAGGGAGGAGGCTGCACAATTAGCAAAATGCTCCCCCCACTGCCAAATAGGTGAGACAATAACTATATGAGGGGAAACTAATCAGAGAGAACAGCAACAAAAATATGTTGGTAAGTCATGATGACAATCTGAAGAATAAAATTTAACTTATCTTATAAATAATAAGAGAATTTAGAAAAATATTACCTCAATGTTTGGTTGTGTGTGTGTGCTTGCCCTTGAGAGGTTCTGAAAAGTGAATAACGGAACCAGTTAGCCCCCGACCCAATGGTTTTTTTTTTTTGCTACTTAGTTTTGATTTTTTTTATTTCCCCTCTTTACAGGGATTATTTTTCTCTCCACCACCCTTGATGTTTATTTTTACATTTGTTATATAAGGTTTTAGCCATTTTATTTGTTAGATAAATGCAAAAAGAAATCTTCTATAATCAACTATTTGCCCTAAGTTTGGTAGGTACAGAAATTAAAGTATAAAACAAACCAAATGAGCAGTGCCGAAAAAAAATTGGTTAAAAATATTAAAGTTATAGAAATTACAAAATATTTCCTAAATTGCTATGTTTTTGTTTTTTTTTATTCAAAACATAATTTAACAATGAAGATATATTTTTTAATATCAGGAAGTCATAAATTGTAAAGAAAAAAGAAAGACTGATTCTGTCAGGCAAAACAGCTAATATTAGAGAGAAAAAAAAATCATTTGATTGTATTTTGTTTAAGCTATTTATTGTGTATACTACTTTTTTCTTTTTTTTTTTCTTACGATGCTTTTGCACAATCTGGTCTTACCTAAGTAGTTAGGTATTTCAGCATAAAACAGAGAAGATAACCAAGGAAGGCAAATGTGTACAGTGGCTGAGGCAAAGCATTAGAACATCTTGCCTAAAACATTCAAAAATTTGTTTCAACAAAATTGTTTAAGCCTACATGAAAATTATGTACTAAATATTACCAAAAATAAACCTACATCTGTTGAAACAGTCTACTGCTGGATGACATAAGATTCAAATAATTTATAGAAATAGTCTTATGCCCACCCACCACAACAAATCCAATACACACATCGAAATCTAATACTTTAGAAATTGTAATCAATGTTTCTTTAAGGGGGGGGGGGAAGAAAACTCCATTTTTTTTTTTCTTTCACGATCAAAAACTTTAGTAAATTTTCAATAAAAAAAAAAATTATAATAAAAATATTTATATACAAACATTTTTAAATTCTTTTTGCATATGAAAATTTAATTTTGGCCTATAGTCAAAAAGTAATGCAGTAATAATTTCCTAATTGTAGTACCAAAATGGCTGCCCTTATGTACATAGAAAGCAAAGTTTTGAGAGAAAGAGAGCATCAGTAGAGTGAAAAAGCAATCCTAGAGACAAACATAAAGCTGACCTTAGTGACAGGATTCACAGTATCAGATCAACTGCTGCTGTAAATGACACAAGAATCCCCATTTCAAAGAGATATTGATGACAGCCATTCACATTCCCTGGGTCCATTGGTTACAAAAGCATGCTAAATAACCACAACAGTGGGACCATCCAGCTGTTGAAATTATGTTTTAGCTATACAGAAATAATATATGCACTCCATGTCTATCTTTTCCTTTAGATCTAGGTAGTTGGGTATTAAATTCAGAATTTTTTCTCTCAGGGTAGTTGCCGCCAGCCATGGCTAGAGATCCCAGCCTGCCCTGCATTTAAGCTATAGCCAAGAGAAAGTGATGGACTCACACCTTTTCCAAGGGTATTTGTACAAAAGTGTACGTAACAAAATCAACAATTCCATGTTCTAACCCACAAACTATTACACTATGAAATGATGTGGAAGAGGCAGCTCCCAATTAACATGGCTATATATATATATATATATATATATATAAAAATATTAAATTAAAATCTTCAGACACATTGGGTTTATTATTCTTCAGTTTTTTTTTTATTATTTCATTTATAAAGCACCCAAGAAATTTTTTTTATGAGACAAGTATACATATGCTCATTTAAATTCCATAATACAATAAGAGAAACTCAAGGACTAGATTTGAAAAACAAAAAAAAAAAAAAAAAAAAAAAAAAAACAACAAATCTACCATTTTTTTTATTTTTAACAACTCCCAAAATATGTATTTCATTAAATTGTTCCATTAGCCATTATCAAGAATTTTTATTTTATTTTTTAACTGAATATGTAGATTATTATGCATATATTCAGTAAAAAAAAAAAAAAAAAAAAAAAAAAAGCTAACGGCTAATAGAATAGCTGGAAGTAAAGTGCTATTTCAGCTAAAAAGAAAAAAAAAAAAAAAAAAAAGAAAAAAAAAGTCAGTTTTTTTTTTTTTATCAATTGTAACAGATTTAATGGGGGCGTGCAGAGCATAATAGGTTAAACAAGGTCTTTGGATTCCAAATCTAGCCTCTGAGTTTCTCTTATTGTACCATGAAATTTAAATGGGCATATGTATACTTGTCCCATAAAATAAAAAAATTCTTGGCTGCTTATATATATATATATATATATATATATATATGTGAGAGAGATAGATATATGGGCAGACAGTTTTTACACACTTTATATCCAGAAAAGAAAAACTTGTGCATATGCAAGAAAAATTGAGTAGAAACCTTACAGTACCTTGTCAGTTTTTAATAAAACTTGTATTAAAAGAGTGACTGTTGCCTATATGTGTGTGTGTGTGTGTGTGTGTGTGTGTTTAATTCAGTTGAAGTAGATATTTCCTATCACTTATTAAACTTTGGCATTAATTCAAATCAGTGCAATTCACATAAAATGCTGATGGTAAAGTAAAAAGAAAAAGCAACGAAATTCATGCTTGTAAGAAGAAAAAATGCAAAGAAAAAGCAATAAAGAAATTACATTAAAATTGCAATCCAGAATTTTACATATATAGACAAATTTTTAGTAATATTAAAAATAGAAATAACAATTAGTTAAATATTTTGAATCTACATACAAAAATCTATTTACAACCTAAGGTTGTTTAAGAAATTTGTAAAACAACCAAATTTAAGCCACATTTTTTTTTATTAGTATTTCTTTTTAAATTAATACCAAGCAAAAATAGTAATCTACAGGTTAATTTATGTACAGGTTTTCAATTGATAAAAAACCATTTTTGTTAATATTTTTCTGATCCTTCTAATCATTTTAAATGCAAAGAAAATTATATGCATTTCGATCATATATTAGTATAGTTTTAACTTATTTCAAACATTTTTGCTTAATTTTTAGTTTTATGGCTATTCATAAATTTTTATAATACCGAGCAAACAAAGGTTACAACAATCACATTACATGTACACAAAAAAGTAAAAAGGTTCTTACATAAAAAATAATGGCTTTTTTTTTTTTAAAGGCCTTAATTGCACAAAGCATTGGAAAAATATTTGTGCAGTTCTATTTAAATGTAATTTGTCCATCGGAAAAGCAGCCCAAGAAATCTAACATCATTGCTGCAACAGACTGATAAGTTTGAATTTAAGTCATTTTTAATCAGATACACATGATGCATTTTTAATATCAGCTACCAATTCCTCTTTGGGAAAGAGAAGAGGGGAAAAAAACACAAACACAGCAAATAAGATATTTTGCATTAACTTTAAGAAATCTAAATTTGTACAATTATAAAATTCATTTTGCCAGTACCAAGAAAACTGACCATCCACAGCAGAGCTAGAAAAATAGAACATAAATTAGGTATGTTCTCCAAAGGATGTTTGGAATTTTTGGCACCCCCACATACCAATCTTAAAATCAATCTCCCTTTTGTGATAAATTGCATATTTTATATAATTGCAAGCCACACACATATATATATATATATATATATATATATATATATATATATATAAATATAAATATAAAAACAAATAAAAATCCTTATATACAATTATGCTGTTTTTATTGATAATGTTATAATTCATGAATATGTCCTGAAGATGGTTTATTAGACCAAAACGTCCAACGTTGACATATTAACATTAAAACAGCATAATTGTATATAAGATTTTTGTTTTTTTCCATATATATATATATATATATATATATATATATATATATATATATATATATATATAAATAAATGGAGGAGTTTCCTGTAGTACCTTTGATGTATGAAGGCCCAGCTCAGTTCTTAGAACCAAACTACCTGTACATAGGCTTTCATTATAGTGATGAAGGCTTTGTGCAGAACCAACCACACTTTTTAAGAGTTGAATACAGAGAACTGGTATAGTGTGATACAAGGTCCAAGACTCATCAGGTTGGTTTTGAATTCGGAGTTGTCCTTCTCAACCAGGCTATAGGACTCACTTTGCCCTGCTATTTACTTATAGCTTGTGTGGAAGGGAGAAGAGATTGATTCATACTTTTCCCAAAAGGTATTAGCGCATAGATTAACATAGAAACCGCCACGAAATCACTAAAAAAAGAGCATAGCTTGATAAAAAAGACGCTAACCTTGCCGAAAACAAAATGTTATTGTCTAAATGCTTGTTATTATTAAGAGGAAAGACCAAAGTTTTTTGGGTTATTTATTTTTTTCTTAAATTATTTTTAAAAATTTTTCCTTCTTTTTAGAACATTCTAAATTTTGATTAAAAAAAACCTTGTTTCTCTTTGTATCACCGGAACTAGTAAAATAACAGACAATTTTTAGCACACTTTTTTTTTTTGTATGACACACATTAATTTGGAAAATCTTGCA